CAGAGTACCTCTGAGAATTAGGCCTAGTGCAGGAAATTCTTTGAAATAATGCAGTATTTATTTGCTATATTCTAGATGCACTAGTGTTGGCTTTGTAGTGAATTTTTGGAGCTTGTTGATAGTCAATGTAATATTGGAGCAGCTCTTTATTGAGAGCTAATTAAGAGCTCTGAGAATGTGCTGTAGTCAGTTTATAGTGCTTTTAGTAATTACTGAATTAGGCTTAGACTTCTGTGTAAGCTGTAGTTCTTCTGCCATAGAGATAGACTAAATTGTTAAGCCAGTCATGCAGAATTTGACAAGAACTATTTGAATATATAATTCTTGGGAGAGATAGATTATTTGCTTCATATGATCTTGTTCAATTTTGCAATCTAGAAATCTTGATAGTTTGCCTAGAGATTTTATAGAAAAGCAGTCAGATAGCTTGTTCTTGAAGTTAGTAATAATTTCTTTTGTAGAAGTAGTAACTAAAATGTTGTTAATGTAGATTATTAGTAGCAGACTGGACTCTTTGTCTATAAATATATATGAATCTGTATTCTTTAGTGACTTTAAACCAATTTTCATAAGAGCTTCTGTAAAAATCTCTTGCCAAAGATATTCTGCTTGCTTCAGTCTGTACAGAGCTTGCTGGAGTCTACAGATCAAGTCTTTTCTTTCTGTTCCAGTTAGAAGACTTATATAAATCTTATGATACTTAAGTATAGCATGCAGGTAGGCTGTAACTATATCAACTTGTTTGTAGTGCATATCTTTAACTACTATTTTTATAACTGTGAGCTTGATAGCTAATTTGATAACTATGAATGCAGCACTGAGATACAACAGAGTTGTTGAAAATAATAGCATTCACAGAAAATGCTAAATTAACAGCAGATGCAGCAAAGGCACTCATTATATTAGAAGTTGCCTGGGACCATGGCAGAGAAAAATACTTACCAGAGTGAGTTCTGTGCCTGCTTGAGATCAGCTAAGAAAAGCAATATAAGCACAGACACCCTGGCCACCCAGATATCCAGGGCTAGCCCCAGGCCTTGTAGAAATTTGCCAATGCTTGACTGTTTTTGAATTCAGATTGTGATAGTCTACACACATTCTTAGTCCACCATTCTTCTTGAATGTGAACAGAATTGGTGCTCCTGCAGATGACTTGAAAGACTGAATGAACTCATAAGTTAGAGTACTGCTCAGGTAATCACAAAGAGTCTCTTGTTCAGCTTGTGAAAGTCTGTAGATTTTTCCAAATTCTGACTGCTTCTCTGACTCAAGATCTATAGCCAAGTCATCTTCACAGTGTAGTGGCAGCTCTCAAGCTCTCTTGTTACTAAGTACTTCTGTAAGTTTATAATAAACTTCTGGTATCTGAAGATCTAGATCTGCTGTCACCACCTGTTCTGATTTGCAGAGAGTTATTATATAGATGGGCTTCTCTCTCTTTACTAGCTCTGAGAGATTAACTGGTTTAATCTTTACAAGCAGATCACAACACACAGTTTAAAACTCTAGTCTTAGTTCTCTGAAACATATCTTGAGATTGTATTGCTGCAGGCAGCTCAAACATACTAGCATCTTATCTTTTATGTTTGTGACCATCACTTGTTCATGAAACAACTGCCAGTTTCCCTGAGAGTCACAGGCTTTAAAGAATATATTCACAATCTCTTTCATAAAAGTGATATTCTCATGATTCATAGCAGTTTCAATCTCTATAGGCCAAATACTGACTAAAACATAACATCTAAAACTTGATATTCTTTAACAAAAATGGGCTCATTTTAACTGGCTCAGAAAGATGATTTGAACTGTGGTACTCTCATGGCTGTATGATGGATAGCTGTGAAGCTATTAGCAAAAATGTAGATGTAATGGAAATTCAAATTGAATTAGTGTTCTTTTTCATGCTAATCCAATTTGTAACTTCCATTACATGGTCCTTTTCTTCACAACCAGTAAGCAGTTTGAATTAAAAGTATTATTAAAAGAATTCTCTTAGTAAGATCTTTTTGCTATCCCAAAATTGTGGCTTAATTCTGTCTATTGAGATTGCAGAAGATGCATAATATTATGGTAAATTTGATGATATTTCTGTTGCAGAATTTTGTTGAGTTGGAAAAATAATTATTCAACACTAATCTCAGACAGAGTTTATTATTGTCAAGATTTCATACTTTAAACCAACTCATGCAAGAGATTTTACTTAAGTATAGTAGTGATTTTTATCAATAGGCAAAACTCGTCAAAACTGATAGTAGTTCAAAGCTGATAATGGTCAGAACAGTCAAAACTGAATATGACAGCAAAAAGTAACAACAGTCAAAATTGACAATAGTCAAAATTGATGATCAAAATTGACAATGGCCAAAATTGACAACATTGAAATTGACAAACACCAAAATTGACAAATGCAAAAATTGATGGTCAAAATTGACAACACTAAAATTGATAGTCAAAATTAACAATGATCAAAATTGATGACACCAAAATTGACAGTCAAAATTGACAACAGTCAAAATTGGCAACAGTCAAAATGGATAACAGTCAAAATTGATGGTCAAAACTGATGGCAAATATTTGGAGACACTTTCCCTGCTGCATCAAGAAAATTAAGAAAAATAAACAAGCAAAAAATCTTGAAATTAGAATCAATTTTCATCTCTGCATTAGCTATTGATTTTTGAATTTCACTGTTCATGCTGCACTACCAGCATTAATATGGCTAAAGTAGCTGCTCTTCATGATTCTCTTGTGCCTATCTCTTCTGTTCCAGCTGTGCATATTGATGTATCTGTTCAAATTCTCTATTAACAACTTATGTAAGTAACTCAGCTCTTGAGACAGTCTGTCTTATAGTCACCAGCTCTTGATCTTCTTCTTCAGTTATGAATATTTCATTCTCTAAGTTCTTATCAGAGTATATGTTATAGATATCTGGAATTAACTGGACACCAGTCATCTCTGGAGACACTTCTAGTATCTTGTCCCTTCTCATCTTCTGCTGTCAGTCCATCAGTGCCTGCATAAAAGACTATTTAAAGTAAAAAAGAGCAGTTAAACCAGAAAGTTAGTGCTTGAAGTAGTATCTGTTTCCCCAGAAATAATAAAGATACTCTGTTTTATATTTATTCTGTCTCTATTTCCCAAAGCTAGCTTTAAAGAACTGGCATGGTGTTTTCTTTTAATATCTCAGATACTGCTTGATTGTAGCCAAGTGCTTGTCTTCAGTAAGTGGTCAGACTGAGGCCATCACAACAAATGTGAGGATCATACGTGTGGATCAGCGTGACAATGAATCTATAGGAGGAATTGTATGTAGAAAGGAGTACATGAGGTAAAAGATCTGGTATTGGCAGCTATGTATGACTTGTAGACAAGATTGCCACTGGCTCCCAACAAGGGGTTTGCACAGTGGTGGCCTTTTATGTGTGCTCACAAGCATGTGACTTAGTGCCTTGCAAGGACACATGTACTCCCAACAGCTTGTGAGCCCAGGCTCTGGGCCCTCACAGGTGTTGTTTGTCCATGTAAGGGGTTCGCGGGCGAATCCTTACAACAAAGTACATAGAGAAATGACACAGTAGGTAACATTCTCTGTTTTTCAGCAGGTTGTTGCCTGATATCCAGAGCAATCCATTCTTATTCTGTTCTCAAATGGTTGTGATGCACTCTGTATTATGAACATAGGCTTAGACCAATCTTGCATCAGACAACATCAGATGTTCAGGAAATGTCATGTGATTCATATCTCTGAATGTATTAGAATTGCATGATTCTTACAGATTGTGGGAACCTCAGTATTCAGTTTCTTAATTAGCAGATCTATATGTTTTACACATGACTTCCTCCCATCAGCTGTGAGCATTGCATCTATTTAGCTCTTTTGTACCTCCAAATCTAGAACAACCTACAAAGCCTACATCAGGTTTCCCCTAACATTCTGAATGCTCTGACATACAATTGCCTAAGTAGGTACAATGCTACCAAGACCTACAAGATGAATCACAACAACACTTCATGGTGCAGACCTAATACAGATACAGATCAATGTGAAAGAAACAAATATTAATGAAGATGCTGATGTAGTGGAGATTCTGGTACCTTATTAGAACAAAGGTTGTTCTGGTTCAAGGCACAAATCACTCTAAAGCTACTATCTCTGAGCTATATAAACCATCTGTAGCTCTTACTTCTTGCTTATTACCTTCACACATCTTTGCACTTTACTACACACTTGTTCTTTATTACTAGTTTGGTTATTAGTTAGAGAATATGAAGATGTCTTATTCATGAAGCTTGCTACTATTTTTCTCTAGAGCTGCCTGTATTAGTACAGAGCTCTATACTATTACTATTACTTCTTATGAGCTTAGGCATCTATTAAGGCATTACTATTACTACTCAACCACTACTATTCTTACTATATTGTAATTTTTCACCTTTCTTGTACTCTCACCATATCAACCAACTCACCTACCTTGACAAGGCATTTCATCATACACTGCTTCATTTGGTGACCAAGTTGAGACCTGAAGATGATGATGTGGTAATTTCATCAGCAAATCCCAATCAGGCCCCCCACACCCTACAAATTTTAGTCTAATTTTTTGCACTGTGGACAGCCTTAGCACTCTTAGCACCATATAATTGCTCTGGCTTTGCTCCAGGCCACATTTTTGATTTTCTTGTTGCTTCAGATTAACTCTGGATGAGATTTTCTACTTGTGATAGCTTCAGATCTGCTGAACTTCATTAAATTGTTCTTTAGTTATCTCTTTTACTTACTGGGTCAAGCTGTCACTTCTGCTAGTACTTTGTACTCTTAGCTACTTGAAGTTCTTACTTTACACAATTAAATATAAGGTAAATATTTTCATTTTTGTAAGAAACTTACTAAGATTTAATTTAGTTATGAGTAACAAATCCAACTGTAAACATTATAAATTTTCAGAAACTTTAGATTATTTGATACTATATAGAGACTGTATATGAACTGGAATTTTTCACTTTCTACTACTACTCAGTTTCTCATTCTTCTTGTTTCCATTATTTATTTCATCTTCAGTTGAATATGGCAAGTTATTCAGATCTGTCAAAAGCAATTTATCAAGGTCCATGCATTTCTCAAGCACAATAGGTAATAGCATATCTGGTATGGAAACTCTTTTGGGTAACAGATATTCTTGTAAAGATTCTTGTAAGCTTGAACCTGCTGGACAGGCAGAATCTTGTAGAGATAAATCTATATTTGTCTCCAAAAGTATCTTAATAGAGTTCTCAGATTCTATAGTTAACTGCTTGACTGATAATTGTATTACAAGAACTGCTTTACTAATTATTACTAACTTCTTTAATAAAAGTAAATCAAGCATTTACTGAATCTTTTATAGTATTAGATTATCTAAGTCTAGATCTGTCATATCTGAGTATTCTAATTGCAAGCAAGTCTGTTTAAATATTTTATAATAGAAGTTATCTGCTTGTTTGTGTATAATATTCTTACTCTTATTTGCTGTAGTATTATTCTTTATCTTGATATTATTCTCTGTCTCAGTATTAATAAAGATATCTGCATTTTCTGAAGATTTATCTAGCTGTACAGCTAGTTCATTCTTAAGATTGCTGAAGAAATCCTGTGCCATACTAATAATTTGAGAGATTATTTTATTCACCTGATTAAACTTGACAAAATAATTAAAGATATTTGCACTATAGAGAATTCAAATCTGCTGTTTTTGTATCTGACTAAGATGATAAACTCTACTTATAATCTGAAGAGTTATATTTATATTGATTACCAGTTTAATCATGACAATATTCAAGCAATAGTAGTGAATATTGATGCTGAGTGAGCAAGTGCTATAAGTTATTACAAGGATTTTGATGTTGCTGGTAGAGCTATTAAAGATATCTTGTATCTTTTGGTGTTTCTGAAATAACTGACCAGTTTGTAAGAAAAGAATATTATACTTTAAAAGCTTCAGAAAGACTTCAACATGAAATTCAATGGTCAGATATGTCACAAAAACAAGAAGATAATATCTCTCAGTATTAATAATCTTTTGAATAATCTTGAGAAAAGTTAGATATTTTGATGTTATGACACAAAGAAATTCTGTGATTCATATACAGTCTGCTGGAATTCAGAAAATATTAGTGTTAATGATTATTCTGCTTATTAATCAGACAATTTTCTGGAACAAATGCTATTTTCAGTCAATATCTTGGGAAAGATTGTCTTTATACTTGTTGACTGTCAATATAAATAGATTTTTGAAGATAAAAGAGAAAGATGTATATCTAAGTTATTAATAAACAGCTATATTAAAGTCTCTGTCAATATTATTCTTATTCTTAGAATATTTCTGTATATTGTCAATAGATTCTTTCTTTAGCAATATAATAAGATGTGAATATATTTAGTAATACTGCACAAGTTGTTTAATCTGTATTATTTGACATTTAATTATTTGCACAGTATAACTAGAGATATTTCTGCTGATAGTGATAATCTTCTGTTTACTTTTGAGATTCATTATGTGGCCATAAGTATGCCAAAGCTGAATACAGTTTAGAATTCAAGGCTAGACAAGCATTGTGAAATAAGATGACTTTCTTGAGACACTTGCTGTATTTGTTCAGAAAATGTAAAAGCAATTGAATATTACTAAATCTGAAGAAACTTGTGCTTTCAGCAATAAATAAAAGTCTCAATCAGATTGAATTAAGACATACTGTCTTCAAATTTATCAATTTATCATAACTTAGAAACTGGATAGAAAGAATGACTCAAACTTAGAAAGATTGATTAAGAAAATTATGTGTTGCTTACTGGTATAAATGGAAAAAACAAATTTCTGATGGCAGAACTATATTTGAATTCAAGTATATGAACTATTCTGAGCAAGTAGGTTCATATGAAATGGCAAGATGATTGGCCAGCTTGTGATTGTGATAGCAGTTCTTGCCAATCATAAATAAATGAAACATATGAGAAGCTAAAAGACTAATATATTATCTGTATAATTTGTAATATATAGTGATGCATTTATTAATATGTTACAGACTTATACTGAAATTCTGTATAGAATTTATAGCATAATTAAGATGAAATTATCTGCAATATCTTAAAAGTCTCTATCAAAAAGCTGCAATCTTGATAAATGATAAATTTACTTCATGAAGAATATTATCTGTAGTGCACATGTGGTTCCAACAACAAAAGATAAGTCTTTATATAGAGACAAAAGACTTTTTTATGTGAATAACTATATTAACTGAGACCAGTATACAAGTCTATATGATCTGAATTTTATGAAAATCAGTACAGCACTAGTAAATAAGTTTTTCTCTAAACTTCAACAAGAGATAATGAATAGAAAAGCAAAATCTGATAGAGAATTTGAGAAAGAATTAACTGAGTAATTAAAATATTCAAGAATACTTATCAGCAACTGAAAAGTTTCAGTAAATTGTTGAATACATTCTTTTTACTACTCTACTTAAATAATATTGCAATGAATTATTTATATCAGAGATGAGATAGAATATCTTCATAATAATTATATAGTCAGTTGAATGACCATAATATCTAGCTGTATAACAGATGTGCATGTCTGTCAAACTCTTGCTGTACAGCTAGATATATATCTTAACATGACTTTAAGGCTTTGTTGTCTGTACTCTGTAACTATATTGGTGAAGATTAAAGCATTTTCCATGGCTGTACAGAATATAAAGTAACTAGTTATCTAACTGGCTAACTAGTTACAGAGTAACTCAGTTAACAAACTTGTTAGTTAGTCAGTCATATAATCTATAATATCTCTCAACTTCTTACAGTAGCTTTACAGGCTCTAGTTCATGTTTTGCATTCTGAAACTTGATAAGTTGCATGGTTTTTTTTTTTTGATTATTTATTACATATGATTCAATTTGAGAATTTGTTATTTACTAAGTGATTTTCTCAAGTAATACTGACAATGGTTCTCAGGAATATATTCTCCAGACAAAGCCATATAACTAGCACCAGATTACTGAAAGTTAAAGATTGGAAAGTGTCAGTAATTAAACATGGACTGAAAATTAACTATAATATATACTAATTACTATATTACTCTGTTAAACAAGAGATGCATCTATAACAGATATTCAGAAAGAAGCTTAGTATACAGAAGAATAGAAAGAAACTACTTGATATTATTTAGTAAATAATTACTTAATATAATTCTATCTTCTATAATTATCTGACTTTCCAGGTATAATGTTATCTAACAGCAATAGCTCAGAAATGCAACAACAACTAAAAGCACCACCTATTCAGAGAAGAGCTTGTATACTCAAACTTAATTACTTTATCAGACAGTAATTATTCTCAGTCTATTCAAGTTTCTTCTGGTATCAATATTAGAGAGATTGTTGAGATATATAAACAGACTTGAAAACAACAGTTTCTGGATATTACTGCAAAGCTTTAATGTGTAATTCTTACTGAACAGAATAATAGCAGTAACAGAATAGATAATACTCTGCTTGAATCAATAAATATAGTTATCTAATATTTAGAACAGAGGGGCACTATAATATATAGTGTGAAAGATCTTGTCAGCAACTGCAAAAGCATGTTAAAGAAACAAATAAGTATAACAGATGATTTAGCTCTAATTTTATATGTCTTCTTTCAATAATTAAGAACACTGCTTCAAAATAAGCTCAGTCTTAACTAAAAAGATACTTAAATTTGGTACTTTAAGCTGCTAGACAATAAGCTGCTAGAAATCTCTAAAGAGCATTTGTTCTGAACAGCTCTTAAACAAATATATTACTTAAAATGGTGCTACTTTCAGCATTTTCTAACTAGTTTGAATAGAATTGAAGAATTGCTTTCTAATAAAAGTGATAGTTAGATGTGTATATTCACTTCTGATAGAATAACTATTTGGCTGACTTTTTGAGTTTATGTTATGAAGCAGATATACAGGAGTTCCAGCTTTAAAATAGCTTATAATTAGTGATTATTATCAAAAAAATTGCTAGTCTAGTTGCTAAATACTAAACTAGTATTTCAGAAACTTTAATTTTGTTAATCATTCTTCTTTTTTATTTCAGCATTCTGATACTGAGAATTCTTCTCTACATCAACAATTGATGTAACATATTTTATAAGTTAATTTTCTTCAATCTGTTATTGTTCACACATATTATATAGTAAATTAAAAGATGTGTCAAACTTGAATTATTTTATATTAATACTGACTCTTATGTAAGAAATTATATACAATGATGCTCTTGTTACAAAAGTGAAAGTTGCCATTATAAATTTAGTTAGACACTACTTAGTACAGAAGTGCATCTGCTACTTCTCAGATAACAAGAAAGAAAATCAAATCAGTAAGTACTGCAAGAGCTTTTCTATAATTAAATAAATAATTAATGCAAGCAATAAACAGTCAAATATAATATATTAATCAAACAGTTAGCAGGTTCTCTAAACAGCAGATAGAGTTAGTCAGATTTTAATAATATGCTACAGAGATAATTACTAATTCAAATATAATTAATAAACAGAAGTGCATTATTAATGTTGCAGAATAGTATAATGTAAGAAGCAATAGACTTGATAAAGAATAGTAATATTAATATATTATTTGAGAAAGTAAATTGCAATCACAATGCATCTACTAGCATTAATAATATTCAACATGATAGAAGCTATTACAGATAGCTAAAGACCTTTAACAGAATTCTAACACTAAAGTTAGAAGTACTGCAACTTCAGAAAATACAGTAAATATATCTTTCAGTGTCCAGCTGCCTGCTTCAAAGTGTATGATATGGCATGGTGCCAAGCAGTATTATCTGGTCAGATTACTAAATACAGCTAATAAAGTAGTACTTTTTATTACAAAGTAATTCTAGAGAGTACAGCTGTTTTCTGGTTTGAATCATGACAGAATATCAGATAATTAACTAATACTATAACCTGAATATCTTGCTAATACAGATTAACTTAGTGAAATAATTAAGAGTGTCTGAATAAGAGCAGTGCAGATATAATATAATAGCAGACATAATGTCAGTAGTATATCAAGTATCTCATCTAATAAACTAAATAAGACAGAAGCTAGAAGAGTAAGTCTTATTATCTTTACAAGATATAACAAGTTTCTAATATTATATATTAGCTTTATAATATTGCAAGATTTGTACAGAAGCACTTCATAAAAAAAACTTGTAATATTATAATAAAGAAACTTTCTGAATCAACAGCTGAAAAGCAGAAAGAGACTACTGTAAATCTTCTTTTTAAAGATAGCTTTACATGTTGTAATCAGAAGAAAAAGATATACAATATTTTTTTAAGATGTCCATCTGATGAAATCTACTACTAAGAAGTCTGGAATAGCAGAATGGCAAGAGATGCTTTTTGAACTCAATAATATATATTGCTGTTAGTCAGTTTCTCTATAGTAAAGATATGTACAGCTCTGCTATGAATAAACATATTATATATCTCTTTAATTCTCTATCTGCTGGTTGCATCATTTAAGTATTAACATGTTTGTGCCACACTATCAAAAAGTATAAGACTGGTTACTGGTAGTTGTAAATATATCAGATTTGAGGGCCAAGCTGTACAGAA